GTGATAGTCGCGTTTTTTTGGCGCCTATTAGTGGAAGCTTTTACAATTTTCGGCACACCGTTAATAAATCTCAAAGTCATGTCGGTAACACCAGTGTCTTTAAGCGATTCAAACCGCTTCTTAACACAAACGAAATGATCACGCTGTTTCTTGGTTAAATCCTGTTTGATAGCAACTGGCCCAGAGTAACTATTCTTCATCCTTAGTATGTCGATGGCGTCAGATCTGGATGGCAGTGAGACTCGCAAAGGTCTTGCATGACCCTGTTTAAAAGTGCCGAGTCTCCGAATCTTGATACGAGGAGGGTTTTGGGGCCGTATCTTACGAATTATTTCCTCAGCAATGGACAGATTATTCGAGACGTCATCGCTCACAGAAGATGGAGAACTTGACTCATTAAGGTTATAAAAAATCAAGTTCGAAGATCTTCTCTCCCTCTCGGAAATCTCCTCCATTAATTCCTCCTGATCGATGGAAGGGGAGGCGGATAATAACTTGTTCTCAATCTCCGCGACTCTCCCCGCTAGCCCTAGCATCTCAGCTGAAATCCGCTCTATATCAGCACGGAATGAACTCACAATTTCATCGCGAAAGTTAGCGAACTCTTCACGAATTATGGCTCTTATTTTTCCGACCAAAGGGTCTGTCGGGTCAGAGGAGCAGCAGATAAATCTGCCGTCGGAGTGAGGATGGCCCGTTCGGGCTAAACAGCCAGGATGAGAGGCGATGCCACAATCATCACAAACAATCGGCCTGACCACTGTCGCCCCGCAGCCTTTGCACGTCTTTTTATCCAGGGCCGTTTTATCGCACATTGGCATTCTATCCAAAATGCGAGATACAGGAAGCAGGAGAAATCGAGAATCCGAGACCGGTAAAGCAACCTTCAGTCGAAACTTGTATATGTTAGACCTAATAATAAACACATCTGTGCTCTCCGACTGACTGTGTACGACTGTGTATTATAAAGAATAAGGTAAGAATTAATTCCATGTATTATTTTTTATACTATTACGTATACAGGGTATTCAATAACTTTGTCCCGCGCGAATTTCATTAAATATGTAGGAGATACCGAAGGTTTCAGACAATAGTTTCAGGATTCCTATAAGGAAAGAAAATGATACTAGAGCAGTTTTGTATTTAGAGGTCGTTACAGTTATTTCAAGGCAAATTATTTTATTTGAAAATAAAACCTTTATTTTTTATTATATCTTACTCCATACAAAAATACTATTACGACATAAGAAATTTGTTTAAAAAATGTGAAATTTATTGTATTAATATTAACAATTGAAATTTTGTTTAAATATTGTATTAAATGCGGTAAACAACGCCCCGTAAAAAATACACGTTTCTGAAACAAACAAACATATCAACTATGAAATGACTGAAATTGTGCTGTAAATATAGACAGTAATAATGCCGTCCTCCCCTTCCCACGAAATACTGGCACTTTTATCTGAAATATTTCGTAGTATGTATCTCGTAGTATCCTGCAATTTAGTTTTTGAGAAAGTAGGGTGTATTTACAATAAGGCACCTAGAAGATAAAAATTTAATTCTTTATGTATTCTTGTAGAAAGATCAATCGACAGACATACGAACCGCGTTGCACGCAAAAATAAAAACTATCTCCAAATCAGCCGGCGGTAACATGCGCGAGAAAGAAAAACTCTCATCACCGAAGCAGCTCATATCTACTACTGTAAGTACAAGTATGGTTACTAAATCTGTTTACTTGAAACGTATCTTTTTTAAAAAATGAGTCATCTTGGATTTCAATATAAAAAATATTAAACTATTTTCAATGTATTAGTTTAGATCTTTAAAATAATGTTATGACATTTCCTGAATAGAATTTTGTTCATTACTTTATGTAAGTTGAAAACCGATGAATTTGACGAGAAACGTTATTTTCATGCAATTAGCAGCCGAACTTTACATGCCATAAGAAATAATGAAATCCCCAAATGCGTAAATATATTAAGTACTAATTTCAGTTAATGTGAGCGTTATACGTTTCCGGTAAATGTAAATATAGTGTAATAATTAACTTTCGACTTTTTATCAGACAAACGAATCTTGGAAAAGAAACAACTTGGACTCCTCATCAGACAAATTGGCGAAAAAAGCCAAGCTCACTGCAGCCGTAAGTAGTTGTAATTCGTTGTTACAATGCACCAAGTAATACGATAAGTACTGTTTTTATAGTACATATGCTTTTTGCAACAGGACAAATCTGCAGCACGCGATTTGTGCAACGTTAAGTCTCATGCTAATCTCGAGAAAGAGTTAAAAGGCCAAAAGCTGCACCTTCTGGAGAAAGATGGCGAGATTAAACGGCTGACGCTTTTGTTAGAAGAGGCGACGTCATTAAATAATAATTTACAACATAAAGTAATTTCTTATTTCGACGAATTCAAAGGTAAACGCAAATCATATGCTTAAACTTTTGTTATTTGCAGGCTTATTAAAACAATAATTCAATGCTTATAGAGTTACAGTACAGTTCTTTGTTAACTGCCAGTTTTATAAGGTAATTTGTAAGATGCAAATATGCAAGTAAAAATATATCGATTATAATCAAAAGATATTGCATCTGTCTTACTTTTACAAAATAATAATGTGCCTTGAAAAAACGTCTCTTATTATGAAAATAACAACATGAAATGTAGACAAAACGTTAATGAAATTGTCAGGTCATTTTTGATAATTTACTGTACTGTACATTCCCAACAAATTGTCATTATTGAAAAGTCCCTTTATAAAGCATTCAAATTAATACTAAAATTATAAAAGATATATAGTTTAATTAAATTCACATGTATATAGTTGTTTGTTTGTCAATGTATTTGTAGCCACAGCTGATAAATTGGACGAGTTAAAAAGTCGCGAGGGAGCCAATACACTGCCTGTGGGCTACATTCGTAAAAGCAACGGAACTGTAAGTCGCAACATACGCTGTTCTCTTTCCCAGAAACATCTGAAACTCGCTTATTTCATTTACTTTTTAGATCCACTTAGGGAGAGATATTTGGTTATCAACAGAGGTGTACAACTCTGCGGTTGCAAAGCCGCGATCGCTACAAATCGTAGTGAAGAATCTGGCCCTTGCTGTCTATGGACTGGAGACACTGATGGAGTTAAGTGTTTCAGGACATGTCAGCAACAAATACAGGAATAGGGCACCAAAGAAAAAATTAGACGACCGACGCATGCTGGCAATTCAAGGTACGAATATAGACAAATTTGTAATTTCATGTTTTCATTTGAATATTATTTGTATGAAAAATATTAACTTGTATATAACCGCGACCTCTGTACAGACATATACCGATATTGGCTGGTAAACGAAAAGAAACTACCCGCAATTGAGGTAGATATTGAGTGTCGCAACGTACCACATTACATCAGTAAAAAAATCAGTGATCTTAATAGGGACACTGATAAGACGAAGGGAATCGTTGCTATCCGGAAAACTTTAAGAAAAGGTAATTTGCGTGCCAACATTTTTTGAATATAAGATAAAATCGGCATAATTGACTAATCTTGCTTTCAGAAACGATTCATGTTAATAAAAATGATAAAATTAATGTTTTAAAGAAGATTAGATTGAAGTTTATTTTTATACGAATATAAACATATATGTATAGTATAGAAATAAAGTGAAATAATAATATATGTGGTATATTGTTAGCTATATTATTACAATGCGTGATTAATTGATTTATCTTTTTTTCAGAAGCAATCGATGTCAATGTGCAGGCCGTAACCGATGAGGCAGAAATTGAACTGCGCAAAGTCGGTGTAAACGAGGCCGAGGAGGAAGATGTCGAGGTGGACGAAGTCAAGGAGGAAGATGTCGAGGAGGAAGACGTCGAGAAGGAAGATGTCGAGAAGGAAGATGTCGAGGAGGAAGATGTCGAGGAAGAAGATGCTGTAAACGGTAATATGGAACTAATAATCTGAAATCTGAAAATAAGTACGCAGTCATATGCATTGTAACAAAAAATGACAAGCAATATTTATTAGTTTGTAAAGAAAAAGTGAAATTTTTGAAAATCCTGTAATAGCTTCTGAGTTTTCAAAAATCTGTAATAACTTCTGAGTTTTCAAAAATCTGTAATAACTTTTGAGTTTCCAAAAACTTGTGGCTTTAATTTGAAAAATCGTGTTTAGCTCGTTTCAGTAATTAAAACAGAAATCACCAATATATATGCCTTAATTAGTAACGTAGGTAATGATATTTTACGTAGTTGGGTTACAGAAGTGTTCCAAATTCATACCAATATGTAAAAATCTTATTATTATAGTGCTTGAAAGCAGCAGCGACTTGATGATGTCACAACGGAACAGCTTTTCAAACGATGATGACGGTAATGTGTTACTTGAAATAAAAATTCGCATAATTACAATTTATATATTTATAAACAACACAATTCATTGTAAGAATATTGTTGTCATATAAATTATCTAAATAAATTGCTACATACGCATATTCGTGTTAATTGCTATTCTTTTTCGTAATTATGTTTTAGAATGCAATGACAGGCAAAGAAACATCTGCGCAAATAGCGATGAGAAAGAAGAGACCGCGAGAAAGGGAACTGAGTGATAAGGTACAGTTTTATTTCCTAACTTTATTAACCTTTTTTAAAGTATAATACCCGTATTAATAGAAAAGGCAGTCCCGGAGACTGATTGTATCATTTATTGTATCGCTGGCGATATGGCGATATGCCGCGACAAAAATTATTTTGACAAATAAATGCTAACCTTTAACCATCATATCACTATATCAAAATATATCGAAACGATACAAATTGCAGAATCTCCCCCACTCCATCACACCCCCCATGTTAAGTTGTTAACCAAATTAAAGCTTATCAGCCATTTAAAATATACGTACAAACTAACGGTTTAACATGTAACTTTTAGTTTCATTTTTAAAATTAGTTCTCTTAAAAATTAGAGGGTATATCAAATTTGATATTGATATTGATTGATATTAAATCTGAGAAAATTCACTTACCTATTTAAAAAAAAATTAGTTTATTACAATTTTCGATTTTGATAAATAATGCACGCAGACATATCACGCCGGTTATACACTATAATTTATTTAGAAATAAAAATAAATTGTATATATGTAGTTTATTATTAATCTTAAATGGCTGCAAAATTTTTAATATGTTACAAAAATAGCGTTAAGAGATCTATGACATCTTGGAATTTGTGCATATTTTTTTAATTACTTAACTTTGATTAATGATACACGTAATAGAAAATATGTACAAACGTTCAGTCCTCTCAGACTAAGCAAGGTGATGTCTTTGTGAGAGTGTTGCTCATTTGTAACACTGTACAGCTTGATCTTGAGAACCGCCGATCATCTTCTCGAATGAGTAGATAACAAACTGCACCATAGATCTCCTTAATAGCAACAAGTTTATATATGAGTAATATTCATATTTGCGTAATCCTTGTCACGTTATTTCGGATTGATGCTATACGGTGCTTCATAGTTTCTGCCTGGGGAGGTGCCGTTCTCCGCCGCTGTTGTTTTCAGCAGGCGGTTCTCGATCACTGCCTTTGACGAACGAACTTTTAGCGTTATCTTTGTCATTTAAATAGATTTTACATCATTTATGAGAGTGAGCTAGAGTGCATATAACAAACGCAAATAATTATTTTTATTCAGTGAATACAATATTCTTCAAAATACACATTATAGAGTGTGTCTAAATTATGTCAATAATGTAACCAAAAAAAGGAACAACGATTTACATCATTTGCTAATAATAAAAGTCACAGTTTGTAAATAAATAATTCTTGAAATTGTATACAGTAATCAGACTATGAAATTAAATTTCCTACTGCGTGATACGTCCAGAATATTTCTAGATTTGCACATGACATGTATAATATCACTGTAGAACATTATAATCTATGTTAATTGAATAATTTCAATATTTTGTAATGTTTCAGATCAACATGACATCATCAAGAATTATTACCTATTTCTGTATACGTATAGTTGTATACGTATTTTATTAATAGATTAATAATATCATTTTAAATATTATAATTTTAATATAACAATAAAAGTTAAATATAAATAAGAAAAAGTCTAATATGTGTATCATTTCCTATGAATAAAAAAGTATTGCTGCGCATAATATGGCTGCGATTTCTAGGGCGGGTAAATGGTAGTGATAGGAATAAAATATCGTAATGAAAATAATTCGTAACGTTAAAAAATGAAATATCGTAGTTATAATATTGCAGAATAGCCGCTTTTTGATAGTGGGAGTTGCCGAACTACGATATATTTTATTGCTCTTTCCTGCTTCCATTTTTAACGATACGAATTATTTTCATTAGTATATTTTACTCGTGAATCACTACCCTCTACCCGCCCTAGAAATCACATCCGCTCTACATAATGGTATTTTGGAAATGTTATACGATGCATTTCTGTAGCGGGATTCTCTAACGTGCTATCGACAATTGTCGCTATCGTTAACTGTACTTATCGACAATTTTCGTTATGGGTTATTCTGTATCGAGCAGTTATCGACATCTCTCGTTAAGTCGAATCGTTAAGTATCGAAAATTGTCGCTATCGGTCGCTATGTTAACGATGGGTCTTGGAAGTCTCGTTAACTGCTTAGCGATATTTTACATTCGTTAATAATATATTATATTATTTGAATTACAATGTTCTGGCTATTTCAGCATATTTAACAAGGTAAGAGATAAATCAAATGAATAATAATATTTCTAATACACGTTATAACATTTAAAAAACCGTTATATTTGTTATGCGGCTTCCGTAACCAAGGATAACCTCAAACTTGTAGGCAGAATAGTTAAATGATAAAAATTATCTGATATAACAAATATTACATATATTACATAAATTAAATATGGAAATACTTTTAACTAAATATATACATATACATATACACAATACATAATTTTTTTCTTGTGTCTATGTATTCTCAAAGTTTATAAATTAAAATCTGAAGTATCCTGCATATTTGCAACGCGTTTCAATATTACAAATACATTGAACAGTAAAATATATTTTTACAATAATTTATAACAACTTGTTTATGTTAAAATGATTATTCGTATAATCATGCGGTGGGAATATAAAGTGAAAAAAATCATTTCAGTATCGCTTTTTCTACTGTTTTTTTTTTTACTTTATATTCGTACTGCTGACTTATAGATAACAGGGTTAAATAATATGAATAAATAAATTATTTTTAGAATGGCTGATGCTTGTCTTGCCGCAGACATACTAAACTTAGAATATCGTATCCAACGCTGCGAGCGAAGAGTAAATCGACAGGTATTACGAGAAATAGAACAACCATTCGATTTGACTGATGTTGAATTCAGGGAATTGTACCGTTTAACTCCGGAATTGTTAAATGATCTCATTGATGTACTTGCACCTCATTTGATGCACACAAGAATTACTGGACTATCTGTTGAAAAACAAGTAATGTGTCTTTCCACTTAACACGAAGTCATAATCAAAGTTGCTTATTTCTAATTTATATGTCACATAGGTACTGTCTGCAATAAGATTGTACGCGACTGGATGCTATCAACGTCCAGTAGGTGAACAATGGGGTATTTCAATGAGTCAACCATCGATCAGTAGATGTATTCATCGAGTTACAGACGCGATAAATGAAAATATTTTTCGTCAATGGGTGCAGTTTTCCATGACTCCAGAAGCCAGATGGTTTGCAAGAGAGCAGTTTCAGAATGCTCCTCAACCATTTGAAGGAGCTATCGGAGCAATAGATTGCACCCACGTGGCAATTCTTGCTCCTAGGGAACACGAAGAAGCCTATGTGAATCACAATGGATACCATTCAATAAACGTCCAAATGGTACTAATTGAAATTATTTATCAATTTATTGCGTTATAATTATTATAATATAATGTGTATTACTTTATTAAGATATGCGACCCGACTCTCAAGATCCTGAACGTGAATGCAAGATTTCCGGGAGCCAGACATGACGCTTATATTTGGAGTTCTTCTGCTGCGCGTGGTGTTATGGAACGTGCATATAATCGCGGCGAAAGAAGAACGTATCTCATTGGTACGATTTTTTTATATTATCACTGTATTTGTTGCATATTTGAAACGTTTACCGCAAAAGTAGCCTAGCTGCCAAAATTCAGCAATTTGGTTTCCTATTTTAAAGCGTTAATGGTTTCATAATTTATAAGTTAATAACTTATGAAACCATTAACGCTTTAAAATAGGAAAAACTGCCGAATTTTGGCAGTTTGGTCACTTTTGCGGTAAGCGTCTCATTTTAGACATGTTTTTTTTACAGGTGACTCAGGATATCCATTAGAACCCTGGCTGTTAACTCCTTTACCTCATGAGCCTGAAGAAACTCCACGATTTTTCTACAATGAGGCATTATGCAGTGCAAGAAATTGCGTGGAACGATTGTTTGGAGTTCTTAAAAGCACGTGGAGATGCCTTTCCAAGCACAGGGTCTTACAGTATGAGCCTGGCTTTGCAGGAAAAATCGTTAATGCGTGTGCGGTTCTACACAACATGCGAATTGCTGGCGGTATACTTGACGATGATCCGTTTGAAAAATACGCGAATGGAGATGTGCCCGGCATTCACATCGACGACGATGATAATTTGCGACCACTTACACTCGCGCGTCGAATTCAAGATCGCCTTATTGTGGAAAGGTTTGGAAGATAAATTTTAAAATAAAAATCCGTTATTTTATATTTATTATAAAATATATAATTTACTATTTAGGTGCAACATATTTTACGTAATGTAATATAAGTGTAACATAAAATACATAATTTAATCATAATATATTATATTTTAACGTAACACGAAAACTTTGGTGCATACTTTACATACAAATCATCACATTCTTTGGTTAATATCACGTATTGTGTTGATTTGTCCCATTTGACTCCTGTCAAATCCTACTTCTTATACTCGGTCTGAAATTAAGTAATACTTATTAGATAATAATTGTATGACTTTCATAATTTATAACAAATTAGGACATTTCTTACTTCTTAGTGAATATAGCTTGGCAATGAATTATCCAATACTTGTATTACTTTCTCCATTACTCGTATCCTATCCGCTTCGTTCACAGCCTGTACATCTGCATTATTTGCTAACTTTGTAGCAGCTTTGGCCATTTCTGCCATAGCAAGAGCATTCGTCGTAGCTGCTTCTGCATGAGCTTTCGAGGCCTCGGCAAGTATCTGCACAATATTTTAGGAGGTGACAATATACAATTATGTACGTACGACTTCGAAAAATTTTATTAATTCCGATTTTCGAGATTTTTTTTTTTAGGACCATTCTGCAATACGTCGCAAACGCCTCGTTGTCAGTCACGAAGGATGACAACTGCTAGTTGAAAAGACAAGTACTCTTTCCGCTTGGCAAGGGATTGCCACAAACGAGAGTTGGCTCTTTTAATTTTATAATAACAGCAACTGGCAATCGGCAACCGGAAATAACACTTTTCAACAGTTGCCATCATTCGTAATTGGGGCGTTTGCGACGTATTGTAGAATGGTCCTTACCATCATAGCATCGGCTTGCTTCTGAGCAATGTATTCAAATTGCTCTCTCGATGAATGAAACTGCTTAGTAGAATTTCGTACACGATTTACTGCAATTTTATATAAAAAAACATTATTATTAACATAAATAATTAAAACACGTAATAAAAAAGGCATCTTATAACGTTATTGTACAAAAATTGAAAACTATTAATTTTTTTAAATTTTCGTACAATACTATTATATAATATTATTTATGTCTTTATTACATCTTCTTGAAAACACAGATGAACTGATGTTACGAGTAGTACTTGGTAGATCCGATGACTTGGAAGCAGAAAGTATGCATGGAGTCTTTCTCTTCGTCTGTTTCTTCAAGTATGAGGAAGCGATAGCAGTTTTCAGAGTCTGTTGAATTTCTGGATCAGCATCAATAACAATTGGGAGATTTTGTTGCACGAGGATGTTATCGTTGTCAGATGCATTTCCATCATCAAGTACAACATCGTCAATCGTAGCGATGTCGATGCCAATGTTAGTATCTAAAGGAATAACTGTAAATAAATAATATATTACAATTAATATAAATAAGTATAATTAGATTAAGGGCCACTATATAATGTATTAAATATTAATTAATCCACTTTTTTATAAAAACAAAGTAATAATTAAAATAGTTTACAGTACTAATGTGATAATCAACCTAAATTAGAAAGAATATATATATATATATATATGCTTTTTTAAAATAATTTTCAGGTTCTAAAGATAATGACATAATGATCCATTGATACTTAGATCGGGTCTACAATTTGGTCGTTAGTCGTGAGTCGTAAGAAACTGACCAACCACAGTCGAATTTGAGAAGAATAATCAACTGTGACTGGTCAATTTCTTACGACTCACGACTTACGACACCTATTATAGACCAGACTTTAAGCTGCTTGTTAAGTCTTCGGAAATTTCTTGGACTAGGATATAATTGATAATTGTTTTTAAATCAAAACAATTACAATGATTTTATGTAATAATTTATGAAGTGTTAAATATATTTATTTTTGTCGAATATAAAAATAGAGTCTTTCTCTTTCATATTTATTTTTATTTTATTATTAATTTAATCTCTTTTAATACTAATAAAAATGACTACCTATATCTCCGTTCGACGTTTTCGGGCCCTTTTGCAAATTTTCTTGCAGAAGAGTATTGCGAACTTGTGGGATGTCCTCCAATATTAACAAATTTCCACGGATTAGCTCATTTTGTAAAGACTATATAAACATGGAAAAAAGGCATATATTATGTAGTAAGCAATTATATACTTTATATTATATGTAGGTAGATATATTTTTTTCAATAGTTCAAATCTCATTTGCTATTGTCAGACAAATTGTTGAAATTGTTATTAATTATGAATGCTCCATATATAATGATTCTACAATGAATATTTACAAAACATATACAGTTTATATAAACGTATAAATATATTTTCGAAAAAATTAATTTTACTATTATTCGTCCCCCTCCAAACCATAAAATTTTGTCCTGTGTACACACACACGCACACGCACACGCACAAGCACACGCACACGCGCGCGCACGCACACACACACACACACACACACACACACACACACACACACACACACACACACATATATGTACATGTATACATATGTACATGTATACATGTATACATGCATACGTATATATGTATATGTACATACCTCCTCTTCCGGAATATTTTCAGCACAATCTTTACTTCCTTCAATATATTCTACGCCGACTATTTCAATAACCCGCAGTTCCATTTCAGATAATTCCGCAGATTGCTTGATGGACTTGTTTCCTGTCATTCCCTTAGCTTTTCTCAAATTGCGTGCCTTCAGAGAAGTACGACTTTTTAGGTCTCTCCATACCTAAACATGTATAATTATTTTTTATTTTATTCTTGTTTATAAAAAAGTATATCCAAATCCAAATTTAAGTTAAATGCATAACTAAAGTTGTAATAAAAATTACTGCAAAATGAACAATGAAACCATTAGTCTTAAGGCTGGTTTATGCAGGCCGTAACCGTTGATTTAACCCATAAGTCTTAAGAAATTAGCCAATCACAGATTATTCTTTTTACATTCGACTATGA